CTGCCCTGCCCTGCCCTGCCTTTTTTTTTCTCCCGGGAAAATACATCCTTTCCGTGGAGCTGTGTCAGCCCATAATGTTTATTTCACCTCTTACAGCGTTGTTCTTTGTGATAAAGTTGTTTCAGTGTGTTAACCGTTAAATGCAACAACGCTCTCTTCCCCCTGTGCCTTCAATTGGGAGGATGCTGCATTTCAGTAAGAGCCTTGAGGTCGTGCGAAGACAGCGGCTCTTCATTTTAAGCGCTCTGGGAAAGGGGGTATGGCTGGAAGGCTGTCCTGTCGGCCAGCAGCTGTGGGGCCGTCTCCGAGTAGGCCCTGCAGCTGTGCTTCTGCTTGGCAAAGGAAAGGACACTTGGGAGTTAAAACCTGCTCAGTAGGTACAAATGGGGTCAGCTTTTGTGGATGGTGATTTGAAAATGGACCGTCTGATTTCTGGGAAATAAATTATAGGCTTTTGGTTCAAAACTGGCTGGGTGGAAGGAGAAACCAGCAGAGCAGGATATAGCATACTGATAAAACGTCACTCTGGAGCTCTTGGAGGTCGGCTGCGTGCCAGGAGGGTCTTCCTGAAAATACCTGGTCACAGGGCATGGTGCGGTTGGGAGCCAGGCAGCAGCTGTAAGTGAAGAGTAAAAAACATTTGATGTTGTCGAGGGGTAGCAAATCATTAGTGCTGCTATGAGAAGGTATCAAGAGAAGTGTAAGGCACAGGGGGAGCTAATTTGAGGCAAAGACGTAAATTTGAACAGGAATCTGGTTAAGCATTAGGAAAGACTATAATTAGGAGGTGCTGAAAAAGGGAAGCCAGCAACATTTCATAGCTTGCTGAAGACAATACCCAAATTATTGGTGATAGACACATTCTTTCTAATGCAGTAATGTTTATTTGCAGAAGTACTTATATAAAAATACATGATTTTCTCAGTAGCCTTTTCTGGTTTTCAGTTTATTCTGAAGGCTGTCATTGAATTTGCATGGATTTGGAAGTTAAAGGAGTTGCTGCATCCTCTCGAAGGCAGACTCAGCTGTCATCGAGGGGGAAGAAACGTCAGGTTTGTTAACGGAAGGCTTGTGGTTGTCTTCCTTCCTTACTTTGACATTTTAAGAAATATTTTAATCATACTTCAGAAGGTTTTTACATTTTACATTTCTACATTTTGAGGTAAGTTAGGTGTGCAACCCTCACAAGATCACTGTAGCAGAAACTTTCAGGCTAACTTTTGAAAACCTGATTACTACAAATATGATCTTGAATTCTGATGGCCATTGTTTTTATTATAGCTAAGGTAAATATTAATATTTTTAATAACAGTTGATTTTTCTCACACTGTGGACTTTATGCCGGTGAAGTAAAGTTAATTGGTAATCTTTCCTCAGCCCCCAAGCACGCATTTAACTTCCCTATTTGTTGGATGACCTCATTAGGAATTCTTGGAGTTTGACTGCCAAGTTGCTGTTTTCCTTTTTTGTTTGATTTTGAATGAAAAGGATCTTTTGTGAATGATAGCATATCAATTTTATAATTTTACCTTTTAACCAGTCTTTTGAGAATGAAATACCTGTACACAACAACAACATTTGGGGCATTTAGTGTAGGTTGTAAAAGAAAAAAAATGCCCATTTTTCTCTAATCTCTCACCCCTTTTTTTCTTCTCTTTCTCGTCCCCCTCAGTTTCCAAATTTAGACTCCCTAGTCCATCTGATTCTTGGTGGCTTGCAAAAATATATCATAGATTAAAATTAGGTTGAAACTATGTGCTTCACCCCGTAAATGTAGACAGTCTTCAGGATGATTTTTGTTTCCTTTCTTCCTGATTCAATGACTTCTGGAAAAGGGATTACATTAAGACTTTACCATCTAGCATGTGGTATGTTCTTTATATTATTACTGTTGAAATGTTACAGAAAAATTACACACTTGCGATTTAATGCATTGCATTTAGTCTTAAGAGTAAGACTAAATTGTGTTAGATCTCTTAACGGTTTTTTACATATTTGACCACAAGGTGGTGGTGTTTATTATATGCGACCTTCCTGGAAAGAAACTTTTTTCTTTTATTAAACCTGATTACCCTTTTTTGAAGGCACTAGAGGGTAGTGTTGCTGAACTGTGAACTTCTTTTTCAGAAGCAGGCTACAAGGGTGTGTGGCAGGAAAGGAGTTACAGTTTTGTGACTGCT